AGGCTATGTGTCTGAGCTTTTACCTTACATAATGACTCGTCACAAAATTCGTAATAGATTCCAGTGTGTGCAACCATGGAAAATATGTCACTAGTTGTTTATCCAGAAGTGAAACTGTTATATGTTTGTCGATCATAATAATTATGGCAATAATAGCTTACATTTATTGAATGCTGCTAGCATTTTGCTAAGTGCTTCATATGTATTAAGTCACAACTTCATTGTATCAACTCACAACAAACATACAGAATAAGTACTATTGTTATTGCTATTTCACATAGCAGGAAACTGAGTCTTAGAATCTTAAGAAATTTTAACAAAGGTCACAACTAGAGAAGGAAGATTTGCTGGCTTTTTTTTTTTTTTTTTTACTTTAACAATGTTTTATCACAATATACGTCAATACAGGAAAGTATACACCTTATGTATACTTTAATATACTTGTACACCTTGATGATTTTTCCATCAACTGAAAAAACCCATGAAACCAGCACTCACATTAAGAGACAAAATATTTCCAGAACCTCAAAAGACCCCAGTACACTTCTTGCCTCTACCTTTGTGCAAAGGGTAGCCATCATCCTGACTTGTAACACCGTAAATTAGTTTCTACTGTTTTTTAACTTTATGTACATAGAATCATACTATATGTATCCTTTTGAGCCTGATTCATTTTCTTCATGTTTGTAAGATTTATTCATATTGTTGGGTGTAGTTATAGTTGATTCATTTTTGTTGCTGTACAGTACTTCATTGTGTAAATACACTATTTATTTACCTGTTTTACTAAATAAATATTACTGGTGAGCATTTGAGTTGTTTCTGTTTGGGTTGTTTCTGTTTGGGGTCTTGCATTAGTTTCCTAGGGCTGCTATTACAAAGCACCACAAACCAAGTGGCTTAAGCAACAGAAATGTATTGTCTCATAGTTCTGGAGGCTAGAAGTTCAAAATCAAGGTGTCAACAGGGTTGATTCCTTTGAAGGGATGTAAGGAAAAATATGTTCCATGCCTCTCCCATAGTTTCTGGTGGTTTGCTGGCAATCTTTGGTATTCCTTGGCTTGTAAAAGTATCACCCTGACCTCTGTCTTCATCTTGATATGGCATTTTCTCTATGTACATTTCTATATCCAAATTTTCTCAATTTATAAGGTCACCAGTATAGTGGATTAGGGACCTACACTTCTCCTGTATGGCTTCATCTTAACTAATAAAACCTGCAACAACACCATTTCCAAACAAGATCACATTCTCAGGCCAGGACTTTAACCTATGAATTTGGAGGGTGGAGGGGACACAGTTCAACCCATAAGAGAGCTATTACGAACAATACTGCTAAGAATACTCTTGTACATGTTGTGGTGAATATATGCGCAATTTCTGATGAGTATATTCCTGCAAATGAATATAGTGTGTATATATACACACACACACAGACACATGTGTGTATATTCAGCTTTAGTAGATGCTGCTAAATGGTTTTGTAAAATGGTTATACCAATTTTTCCTCCCATCATCAATGTATGGGAATTCCAGGTGAGCCACAACTTCACAAACATTTTGTATTGTCTCTGTTTCTTATTTTAGCTATTCTGATGAGACTATAGTTGTATCTGGTTATTTTAATTTGGATTTTCCAGTGACTGTTAAACTCTTCTTTATATGCTTCTTGACCATCTGGAGGTCATCTTTGCCGACCTATTTATTTGTCTATTTTTGTATTGAGTCTCCTACTTTTTTCCTTGGATTTGCAGCAACACATTATTTTTCTGGAAATGGGTCCCTTGTTAGATGTAGAAATGGAGGTAGAGATATTGACGTCCCTTTTCATTCTTCTTGGCTTTAGGAACCAGGCTTCAGGCGGATGGTCAGATGTGGTCGATTTGCCTCACTTTCTGCCTCTTTCTCTATGCCTGTGTTGAAAATGCCCAAGGTAGAAGAGGAAAAATCATACTACAAAATAGGGAGAGGAGGAATAAATTGGTACAGAACTGTCCATCAGCAGATGGTCTCTTTGAAGTTTTGTTTTATTTTGTTGCCTTTAGTTTCAGGGAGTGTGTTTGTCCATGTGTACATCCCAGTGACTATCTGTCTCTTTCTTTTGATGTTCCCTTCAGAACACTTTATCAGTTTTGCCTGCTCACCTCGTTTCTTTATAATTTTTTATCTGGGCTTGCTTCCCCTGCCGTCCAGCTCTGGCTGCAGAGGATTGGATGTTTCCACTTTCAATATCTAACATAAGACCTGCATAGAATAAACCCTGTTGTGGGAAGTCAGGGACCCCAAATGAAGGGACTGGCTGAAGCCATGGCAGAAGAACATAAATTTGTGAAGATTTCATGGACATTTATTAGCTCCCCAAATTAATACTTTTGTAATTTCTTATGCCTGTCTTTACTGCAATCTCTGAACATAAATTGTGAAGATTTCATGGACACTTATCACCTCCCCAGTCAATACCCTTGTGATTTCCTATGCCTGTCTTTAATCTCTTAATCCTGTCATCTTTGTAAGCTGAGGAGGATGTAGGTCGCCTCAGGACCCTGTGATGATTGCATTAACTGCACAAATTGTTTGTAGAGCATGTGTGTTTGAACAATATGAAATCTGGGCACCTTGACAAAAGAACAGGATGACAACAATGTTCAGGGAACAAGGGAGATAACCTTAAACTCTGACTGCCGGTAAGCCAGGTGGAACAGAGCCATATTTCTCTTCTTTCAAAGGCAAATAGGAGAAATATCGTGGAATTGTTTTTCTCAGCAAGGAACATCCCTGAGAAAGAGAATGGCCCTTGAGGGTAGGCCTCTGAAATGGCTGCTTTGGGGACAGCTGTCTTTTACGGTCAAAGACAAAGGGATGAAATAAGCCCTGGTCTCCTGTAGTGCTCCCAGGCTTATTAGGATGAGGAAATTCCCCCCTAATAAATTTTGGTCAGATGGGTTGTCTGCTCTCAAACCCTGTCTCCTGATAGGATGTTATCAATGACAATACGTGCCCAAACCTTCATTAGCAATGTTAATTTCACCCCATCCTGTGGTCCTGTGATCTCGCCATGCCTCCATTTGCTTTGTGATATTTTATTACCTTGTGAAGCATGTGATCTCTGTGACCCACACCCTATTCGTACACTCCCTCCCCTTTTGAAAATTGCTAATAAAAACTTGCTGGTTTTACGGCTCAGGGAGCATCACGGAACCTGCCAATATGTGATGTCTCCCCTGGACACCCAGCTTTAAAATTTCTCTCTTTTGTACTCTTTCCCTTTATTTCTCAGACCAGCCAACGCTTAGGGAAATAGAAAAGAACCCATGCTGAATATTGGGGGTGGGGTTCCCCTGATAAAGGCCTCATTATTGATTTGTTGACTAAACTTGGTTGAAGTTTCCCTTCCATTGCTAGGTAGAAATAACCATAAGATGCTGTGTCATTTCTTAAGAATTTTTAATTTCAAGAAAGGAATATTTCAGGAGGTTTAAAAAAAGTATCATACTTTGCAAACGAGGTTTAGAAAACTTCTGACAGTTCTCCACAAATTTTTCTCTGATTTTCTCTAAGTGTAAGTAGAGTTCTCTAAATTTTTCCCTGATTTTTCTCTAAATGTCAATAGGTCTGATCACTTAAATGGTATCTCATTAATGACCTCCTTTTATTTATTATTACAGATAGTCTCTTTTGATCCTCAACCATACGTTGGTTCTTTTTTTGTTTGTTTGTTTTTATTTTTTATTATTATTATCCTTTAAGTTCTAGGGTACATGTGCATAACGTGCAGGTTTGTTACATATGTATAATTGTGCCATGTTGGTGTGCTGCACCCATCAACTCGTCAGCACCCATCAACTCATCATTTACATCAGGTATAACTCCCAATGCAATCGCTCCCTCCTCCCCCGTCCCCATGATAGGCCCCAGTGTGTGATGTTCCCCTTCCCGAGTCCAAGTGATCTCATTGTTCAGTTCCCACCTATGAGTGAGAACATGCGGTGTTTGGTTTTCTGTTCTTGTGATAGTTTGCTAAGAATGATGGTTTCCAGCTGCATCCATGTCCCTACAAAGGACACAAACTCATCCCTTTTTATGACTGCATAGTATTCCATGGTGTATATGTGCCACATTTTCTTAATCCAGTCTGTCGCTGATGGACATTTGGGTTGATTCCAAGTCTTTCCTATTGTGAATAGTGCCGCAATAAACATATGTGTGCATGTGTCTTTATAGTAGCATGATTTATAATCCTTTGAGTATATACCCAGTAATGGGATGGCTGGATCATATGGTACTTCTAGTTCTAGATCCTTGAGGAATCGCCATACTGTTTTCCATAGTGGTTGAACTAGTTTACAATCCCACCAACAGTGTAAAAGTGTTCCTATTTCTCCACATCCTCTCCAGCACCTGTTGTTTCCTGACTTTTTAATGATTTCCATTCTAACTGGTATGAGATGGTATCTCATTGTGGTTTTGATTTGCATTTCTCTGATGGCCAGTGATGATGAGCATTTTTTCATGTGTCTGTTGGCTGTATGAATGTCTTCTTTTGAGAAATGTCTGTTCATATCCTTTGCCCACTTTTTGATGGGGTTGTTTGTTTTTTTCTTGTAAATTTGTTTGAGTTCTTTGTAGGTTCTGGATATTCATATGTTGGTTCTATCATGAGCTAGAACTCTACTGAAGAGACTTTATGGGTGACTGTTTTACTCTGAAAAAATATAAATAACATTTATGATTTTAACTATGTTTAAATGTACATTTTAGTGACATTAAGTACATTCACATTGTTATGCCACCGCGGCCACCACCACCACATCTCCAGAACATTTTTATCATCCCAAAATGAAACTGTGTACCCATTAAACATTAGCTCCCCATTCCCATCTCCTTCCAACCTCTGGCAACCACCTTTCTACTTTCAGTCTTTATGACTGTCACACTTCTAGTTACCTTACATAACTGGAAGCAAGCAATATCTGTCCTTTTGTGTCTGGCTTATTTCCTTTAGCATAATGTCTTTGGGGTTCTTCCATGTTATAGTATATGTCAAAATCCTATTGCTTTTTGTTTGTAGTATGTGTCAGAATTTCATTCCATGTTGTATTAAGTGTAAGAATTATTTGGTTAAATAATATACACTTGCATTATAAACCACATTCCCTTTATCCATTCATCCACGAATGAACATTGGGTTGTTTCTACCTGAGTTATTTTATGTAATCTTCATAACTACTGCCCTTGGCAGAGCTGAATTTTAAAGTTGGTTCTGTTACTTACACAGCAGCTGGCCCTGGCCAAGTTGAATTTTCGCTTTGTATCTTAATTTCCTCGTTGTAAAATGGAAGTGAAAATATCTACCTCACTGGACTGGAGTGAGGATTTAATAAAATAATGAGATACCTAGAATAAACCCTGCAAATAGTAGGTATCCAACAATTAGCAGCTAGAAACGTGACTCCTGGCAAGAGAAGACAATTCAAGTCAGTTCCATACATCTCAGGAGTCCAGACTAAGGTATGCAATGTGTCTCTTGCTTTATTAAAAGTCTTCTTAGGTTGTGTATATGTGGCATGTCCTGAAGATGTTTTTAGCTTGTAAAATACTGAAATCAGTGAAGGAAGACAGGAATCATTTGTAAAACATGAGCTTTCTTTTCTACCCACAATGTATTTGGTAACCTCAGAAAAGTCAAGTCAAAAAATTCAATTTAAGGAGTACCAATGATTTGTCTTTGGGGATAACTGTTTTACTTTGTTTATCTGAAAAATAAAATCATACATTTAAGAATATAGACTTAATAATTCATTATAAATAAAAGCATCTTTAGACTCAACTAAAACTAATCTAATTATCAGGGTAAACATCTGGGAAAATAAATGGCCAAATCTTTTCAACTGGATTTTTAATGAACTTTTACAACAAACTAGATTTAGATTGCCTCTAACTTTGGTTATTAATACAACCATAAATAACTTCTAAATATTCTTCATAATTTTAATAACTAAAGTTTTATAATACATACTTTTCTGATAAAAGAAATTTTGAACATACAAAAGGTAGACAACAGATTTATTACAGGTCTTTTTTTCAAAGCATAGTTTTTTGAGGGTAGAGGGGAGATTAAACATAATGAACAATTCTCTATATTTAATTTTGTATCCTTTTTTCACTTAACTTTATAATATAATTACCTACATGGGATTTTTCCAAAGTGATGAGAAACTTTGTGAACACATTTTTAACAAGTACTTAATCATTCTCTCTTAATCCTTCTCTAAGCAAATTATTTCAAGAGCAATAGTATAGCAAATAAATTAAAGAAAGGATTGAAACAAATTTCTGGGTTCAAATTCTGTCTTCCACCAGTTGCTAGCATAAGCTTGAGGAAGTTACTATTTCTCTATGTCTCAGTTTCTTCGTTGAAAAATGAGAATGTTAATGGTATACCTAGCTTTTAGGGTTGGTATGGGGTTAATGTGTTAAAACATATAAAATACTTAGAATAGTGCCTCACATATGGTAAGCATTCTATAAATGTTAACTTATCATTAGCTATTTAAAATCCTTGGTTTGACATGTAAATAATGAAATCTTAAAAGAAGGTAGATTAATAATGAACTAACTGCACTTAAAATCTGTATCGTTATTGTTGTGGACTGAATTGTATCCCCTTAAAATTCATGTGTTGAAACCTTAACCCCTGAGTGACTGTATTCGAGGATAGGGCCTTTAAGCAAGGCAATTAAGTTTAAGTGAGGTCACAAGGATGGGGCGCTAATCTGATAAGATTGTTGTCTTTATAGGATAAGGAAGAGACACCAGAGATCTCTCTTTCTGCATGCATGCACAGAAGAAAGGCCGTATTAGGACACAGTGAAAAGATGGTCATCTACAAGCCAGGAAGAGAGGCCTTATCAGATCACCAATGCTGATCGCACCTGGATCTTGTACTTCTAGCCTCCAGAACTGTAAGAAATAGATTTATGTTGCTTAAACCACCCAGTCTGTGGTGTTTTCTTATGGAAGCTCTTCAAACTAATACAGTTGTTTATAGATAACTTATTTATAATGCTCTTTCAGTTTAAGTTTTAACATCAAGAAAGTATTTGATGTCAAGTAGTATAACTACTAATCCTTGATTTTTTCATTTATGGACTAACCTTTTTATTTTATTTTCCACTTGTCAAAGGATGTATATCTTAACTGAAAAACATAATTTGTCAAGGCCAGGTGTGGTGGCTCACACCTATAAATCCCAGCACTTTGGGAGGCCGAGGTGGGTGGATCACCTGAGGTTGGGAGTTCGAGACCAGCCTAACCAACATGGAGAAACCCTGTCTACTAAAAATACAAAATTAGCTGGATGTGGTGGCACATGCCTGTAATCCCAGCTACTCAGGAGACTGAGGCAGGAGAATCGCTTGAACCCAGGAGGTGAAGGTTGCAGTGAGCCGAGATTGCACCATTGCACTCCAGCCTGGGCAAGAAGAGTGAAATTCTGTCTCAAACAAACAAACAAACAAAAAACATAATTTGTCAAATCTTCTAAAGGAAAGTGCTTAAACATATAAATGATAATCAGTAGATTTAAATGTTAATTTCCCAGTTGCATTAACCACTCAACAGTTGTGTTAGCCACTTGGTTGCACTAGTCAGTTTAATAGCCATATGTGATTAGTGGCTACCATATTAGACAGAGCAGATATAGTAAATTTCCATCATTGCAGGAAGTTATGTTGTACAGAAGTGCACTATGTCTGTAGCCAGAGAGTGGCATGCTTGGATTATGCATCAATTCAAGAGCAGTGTGTTTTTGTCACAATTTTGTGCAACTCCTTATGCAATATTTAGACATTAAAAATTGTTTCTAGCTAGGCATGATGGTGCACACCAGCAGTCGCAGCTACTTGGGAGGCAGAGGCAGGGGGATTGTTTAAGCCCAGAGTTCAAGTCTATCCTGGGGATGGAAGGAAGGAAGAGAGGGAGAGACAGAGGGAGAGAAGAGAAAAACATTGTTTCTAGTATGAGCCAAGCTTAATATCATTTGAGAATAATCAATCATCTATGGTAAGAATAAAATATAAGAAAAGCAATATGTGAGTATAATATACAGATCTTATTTTACATTTTTCTTTTCTGCATTAAGGGAAAAACAACTCTCAATATACTTACCAATGTAATCTTTTTAAATACTTAAAAATTAAGTGGATTTAATACAGCTTTTTTAAAAAAAAAAAGTCTTTAAAATTAAAAATCATAATTTGCCCCAGCTACTCAAGAGGCTGAGGCAGGAAAATCACTTGAACCCAGGAGGTGGAACTTGCAGTGAGCTGATATTGTGCCACTGCACTCAAGCCTGGTCAACAGAGTGAGACTCCGTCTCAAAAAAATAAAAAAATAAAAAATAAATAAAGTTTTAAAAAAAGATTATAATTTGCTCAGAAGTAGAGAGACCAGTATAATAAACCTCCATGAATCTATCACTCAGTTTCAATGATTATCAACTGATTGCCAATCTTGTTTCATCTATAACCTCCCTCTTCTCACCACCTATCCTCCACTGTATTGTTTTGAAGCAAATCTAAGACATGATATAATTTTGTCTGTAAACATTTTAGTATGTGTTGTGGTCTGAATAGTTGTGCCTCCCCAAAATTCGTATGTTGATATCCTAACACCCAGTGTGATGATATTAGGAAATGAGACCTTTGGGAGGTGATTAGGTCCTGGCAGAACTCTCATGAATGGATTAGTGCCCTTATAAAAGGGACCCTAGACAGCTCTCTTGCTTTCTTTCTGCCATGTAATAATATAATGAAAAGTCTGGAACCAGGAAGAGTGTCCTCACCAGAACCCAAACATTTTGGCAGTCTGATTTTTGTATTTCCAGCCTCTGGAACCGTGAGAAATAAATATCTGTTGTTTAAACCAGGAGTCCTCAAACCCTAGGCCACGGACTGGTACTGGTCCATGGCCTGTTAGGAACTGAGCCACACAGCCTGAGGTGAGTGGTGGGCAAGCGAGCATTACCACCTGAGCTCCACTGGATTTTCATAGGAGCACGAACCCTATTGTGAACTGCGCATGCAAGAAATCTAGGTTCCACACTCCTTATGAGCATCCAATACCGGGATGATCTGAGGTGGAACAGTTTCATCCCCAACTATCTCCTCACCCGCCACTCTCTGTGAAAACATTGTCTTCTACGAAACTGGTCCCTGGTGCCAAAAAGGTTGGAGACTGCTGATTTAAACCACACAGTCTATGGTACTTTGTTACACAGCCCAAACTAAGACAGCACATAACACTAAAATATAAGAACATTTTTAAACATAATCACAATATCCATTATCATAGCTTGAAAAAAAAGCCTAAATAGTAATTCTTAATATTATCAAATATATAGTCATTAAATGTGACCTTTTTTAAAAACAAAAACACTTAGTTTTTTTGACTTTACCACAAAATTTCAAGGTTGGGAAGTACCTGTGATTATGTCATCAATTTACAGTCACTGATCATCTGATGTTAGAAACACTATAGATCCGGAACTTAAAAGTTGAAGGGGAAAAAAAAGAAATGCTGTAGATCAGTATTCAGGAAATGAAAGCAGTATGTTTTATCTATCATTTGCTGCTAATAACAAAATGCTTCAGAAGCAAACTAAAATATTATCAGTAGAAACAAAAGTACTTTAAGCTATCCAATTAACCAATTTAGGTTAAATAATCCTAGTAATAAAAACAAGTCACCCCCTCACACCCATTAGGATAACAACTGAAAAAAAAGCAAAAAACAAAAAAAAAAACCAGAAAAATAACAAGTATTAATGGGGTTTTGGAGAAATTGGAACGCTTGTACATTGTTGGTGGGAATGTAAAATGGTATAGCCATTGTGGAAAATAGTATGGCCATTTCTAAAAAACTAATATGGTAATAGAATTACCATATAATCTAGCAATTTATTAATAATTTCTGGGTATATAGCCCCCAAAAATGAACACAGGGTCTAGAAGAGATATTTGTACATCCATGTTCATAGTAGCATTATTCAAAATAGCTAAAACATGAAAGAAAATCAAGTGTCTTTCATGGATGAATGAATAAGCAAAATGTGGTATATACTTAGATCATTATTACTCAGAAGGAAATTCTGTCACATGCTACAAGATGGATGAACATTGAGGACATGATGATAAGTGAAATAATTCAATCGCAGACAAATGATTCCACCTATATGAGGTACTTAGAGTAGTAAAAATCAGAGAGACAGAAAGTAGAAGGGTGGATGCCAGGGACTGTAGGATGGGGAAAATGGGGGTTATTATTTAATGGGTAGAGTTTCTGTTTTGCAAGATTAAAAGAGTTCCGGAGATGGATGGTGATGACAGTTGTACAATAATATGAATGTACCTAATACTACTGAATTCTACACTTAAAAACAGTTAAAATGGTAAATTTTGTGTTATGTGTATTACCACAGTAAAAAAAAATTGGAGGGAAAAATAATATTATCCTATTTGCAACAGAAGACAAATCTTGTGCATAAAGAGTAATACAAGACAGATTAATACATATTTTGCACATGTGCTTGCAAATCCAACATACATACACCATACACAAGTGATCCCTGTATACCTTGAAGAAAGATAATATTATTTACATCATTTTTGCTTCAAGATTTTATAATCTACAAGCCAGGATACTGGTACCAAAACAGAGATATAGACCAATGGAACAGAACAGAGACCTCAGAAATAACACTATACATATACAACCATCTGATCTTTGACAAACCTTACAAAAACAAGCAATGGGGAAAGGATTCCCTATTTAATAAATGGTGCTGGGAAAACTGGCTAGTCATAAGCAGAAAACTGACTGGACCCCTTCCTTACACCTTATACAAAAATTAACTCAAGATAGATTAGAGGCTTCCATGTAAAACCCAAAACCATAAAAACCCTAGAAGAAAACCTAGACAGTACCATTCAGGACATAGGCATGGGCAAATACTTCATGACTAAAACACCAAAAGCAATGACAACAAAAGCCAAAATTGACAAATGGGATCTAATTAAAGAGTTTCTGCACAGCAAAAGAAACTATCATCAAAGTGAACAGGCAACCTACAGAATGGGAGAAAATTTTTGCCATCTACCCATTTGACAAAGGTCTAATATCCAGAATCTGTAAGGAACTTAAACAAATTTACAGGAAAAAAACCCATCAAAAAGTGGATGAAGGATATGAACAGACACTTCTCAAAATATGACATTTATGCGGCCAACAAACATGAAAAAAGCTCATCATCACTGGTCATTAAAGAAAGGCAAATCAAAACCACAATGAGATACCATCTCACACCAATCAGAATGGTGATTATTAAAGTCAAGAAACAACAGATGCTGGAGAGGCTGTGGAGAAATAGGAACGCTTTTATACTGTTGGTGGGAGTGTAAATTAGTTCAACCATTGTGGAAGACAGTGTGGCAATTTCTCAAGGATCTAGAACCAGGAATACCATTTGACCCAGTCATCCCATTACTGGGTATATACCCAAAGGATGATAAATCATGCTATTATAAAGATACATGCACAGGTATGTTTACTGCGGCACTATTCACAATAGCAAAGACTTGGGACCAACCCAAATGTCCATCAATGATAGACTGGATAAAGAAAATGTGGCACATATACACCATGGAATACTATGCAGCCATAAAAAGGAATGAGTTCATGTCCTTTGCGGGGACATGGATGAAGCTGGATTTCAGCAAACTAACAAAGGAACAGAAAAACAAACATCACATGTTCTCACTCATAAGTGGGAGTTGAACAATGAGAACACATGGACACAGGGAGGGGAAGATCACACACCAGGTTCTATCGCGGGGTAGGGGGCAAGTATAGGGAGAGAATTAGGAAAAATACCTAATGCATGTGGGACTTAAAACCTAGATGATGG